ACACACACACACGGGTTAGGCTGTTGCTAGTCAGTTCTCTTCTTTCCACCCTGTCCCTATCTCTACCACGTAGATGGGGGTGAGGAGGAGGGAGTGCGGCCCTGAGCCTGCCCACTCCTCATCACGAAATGACCGTATTTAAAGGAAATCTGTTGTATCTACCTGCAGTCTCCATTGTTTCCAGAGTGAACTTGTAATTATCTTGTTATTTATTTTTTGAATAATAAAGACCTCTTAACATTACTGGTGTTGTCTGAGTACCTAAAGCTCTCAGCCAGGTTGGGGAAGCAGGAAGCATTTGGTGGAAATTTTCCCAACCTTTGTGATGTTTTCATAAACTGTTCTTAAGCTACTTACATCGTAAAATATCTTGGTGGCGGCACATTTTCTAGAAGTCTGTGACAGGCTTTGATGGATGATGTGCTAGTCTATTCAGTGAAAAGCAATCTAGGTCTTTATTTCCAGCTTCTTCTGCAAAAGGTTTCAGGAGATTGATAGAATTTTTTTTATTAATCATAGCCAAGTAGGCCGGACAGGGGGTCCTTAAATAAGAAGCAGTGGCATATCTTATTAATAGCTGTCTAGGTGTTCCACTTAGGCAAGAGGAAATGGAGCTGGGAAACCTAAGGGAAAGTATTGGCCCTACAGTTTTCCACTGAAGTCAATGGAGCCATTTCTTGTCACCTCCAATAGAGGAATTTTTCATGTAAGAAACCCAGAGTGGTGTGTTCATCTCTACTGGTGAAGTCCTACCTGCTCACTGTGGGCTATCTCCCTGGCCTCATGGTTTTAACTTAGCAGCACCTTCAAGCCACTAATGCCATGCCTTTTGTTCTCAACTGTCTTCTAAAATTTGCCTACACCTCCAAAGAGTGGGCCTTGGCCCTCAAACCCAATGCATTCCAATGGAACTCTTAATTACCCTCCTCTTCACAATAGAATGTGTTCGATGTTTCCTGTTCCATTGAATGATATCTTCATCTACCTTGTTTTTCAAGCCAGAAACCTGGCTTGACTTCACTGTCATCACCCCCATGGTCAATCCCTCCAGCCTATACTCATCAACCCTATCTCTTAAGTAGTTTTTAAGTCAATCTACTTCTTTCTATCTCTACTATTGCTATCCTAGTCCAAACTATCACCATCTCTCTTCTGTAATAGTACAACAGCCTCCTAGATTCCCTCCCTCCACTCTTGTTCCCTTCCATCCATTCTCCATGAACAGTCAGTCCCCTGCTTCTTATGAACCTTGGAATAAAGACCAAAATAATCAATTTCATCTCCTGCTGCCACCTCTCTCGGTCTCTTGAGTTCTAGCCCTCAGTTTCTCTAAGTAAGGTTACAAATGCTTTCCTACCTTAAGACCCTGGAATAGTTTTCTCTTCTTGTAAGACCCGTTTCCCTCCCTCCACTGCACCCTGCACTTAGCAAGTTTTACAGCAGTTATCATGGTTGAGGTTTTCCCTGCTATGCTGTGAGCTTCTTGAGCACCAAGACCTTGTTCCATTTACCATGACAACTTCAGCGTCTACCACAAGACCCAGCATTGAATTGGCCATTTATTTGGTGCATGAAGGAATAAATAAATGAATAAATGCAGCTGCTTATAACTCAATATCCCAGGAAATAATTCTGTGTGTTGGCTGAAGCAAAAATTGGCGAAACTGAAAGGATCCTCACTGTCAAAAATATCTGGATGATAAAAGTGCACTCATGGAGTAAAAAATGACTTCGAATTATGCTGTAGATAAAAATAGATAATCTGTTTTTATTATATTACATTTCATGGTAATTTACAAAATAATACATGTTTGTTCCAAACTTCAGTTGAACATTTTCAACATTTTCCTATAAATGAAAAAGAGTCGAGTACATTTCTGATTTACCTGTAATAATCTGATCATAAATGATCTAATTTGGTTCCATTTTTATAAACATGTCACTTCTGCCTTCTATCTTAAGGGGGAGGATGGGAATGTTGGAACTACCCAATAAGTTTTGTTTCTAGATAAAGAGAAAATAAACAAAGGATAAAATATTACTGCCTCTGTTACTTGATGGTTAGCAAATGACCACAAAACTCAGTGTGCTCTAGCAAGCTGTCAGTACAGGGGTATCCCCACTTAAACGGAAATGACATGTAAACTTTTGGGCTTCAGGAGGGAATACATTTTGTGCTACATTCAACTATTTTCACAGGACCCAATGCCACTGTGTTGGGAGCTGCACTGCTTTAGGCTTTTAAAGTAGTCTGAAGTATCTTGAGACACAGAAACATAGAACTAAGTATGATTTTTATGTTCTTTTACTCTGTGAACCGCATCCCCATTAAAACAAAATAAAATAAAACCAGAAATGCTCATTGTACTCTAGTAGTTAAATCTGGAGGCAGACAGATATAATTTTAATCTAGGCTCCACTATTAACCAGCTTTATAAGTACAGGCAAGTCATTTCACCTCTTCTAGTCCTCAGTGTCCACATCTGTAAAGTGGGAATAAAAAGAAGACATGCTGGGCCAGCCATGATGGCTCACACCTGTAATCCCAGCACTTTGGGAGGCCAAGGCAGGTGGATCACTTGAGGTCAGGAGTTCAAGACTAGCCTGGCCAGCATAGTGAAACCCTGTCTCTACTAAAAATACAAAAATTAGCCTGGCATGGCAGCATGTGCCTATAATCCCAGCTACTTGGAAGGCTGAGACAGGAGAATCACTTGAATCTGGGAGCAGCAGTTTGCAGTGAGCCAAGATGCAGTGAGATTGTCCACAGAAAGTCACCAACAGAATCTCCTTTCTGGAGAAGATCATCATGTAAGGAGCACTAAGGTAGTTCTCTACATGGTCCCCAGCACACTGGTCTACAATCAATGGTGCAAGTGGACAGGATGCTATCTTAAATGGCTGAAACCTCTGAGACCAAGGAGAATGTCTGGCAACCCAGGTACACATGAGAGGCCTTGCTCATGTACTAAATCAAAGACCACACGCAATGTGAAGCAAAGTGAAACCAGAAAGAAAGAAAAAGGAAAGAGAAAGAAGAAAGAAAGAAAGAAAGAAAGAAAGAAAGAAAGAAAGAAAGAAAGAAAGAAAGAAAAGAAAGAAAGAAGAAAGAAAGAGGAAGGAAGGAAGGAAGGAAGGAAAGGGCAAACATTACAGTAGACCTGTGGATAGCAAAGACTCTTTTTTATGGTATAGTTTCATTGTCAAAAACTGTTAAGCACCGGGGTCTTGGGGTTGCCAAATTTTTCAGTAGGTTTGAGAAGTTCTATATTTAGGAATGTTTGTTTAAAAGACAATGACCATTGATTCTTAGTCTAAGGGGCATCAGCACAAAAACCTTCCCCTTCCATACCACACTTTCACACTCCTTCGAGTAATTCTTCAAGCAATTCAACAACTTTCAGGGAAACCAGTTAAATATGTAGTTATTTTTCCCTTCCCCACTCCTGCAGTTCCACTGAGTTATCTATAAAGTAGCTGCATCCATGGGTCTGGAGATCAGGAGAAAACTCGGAATGGAAAACTGTGGACATGGGATTCATCTCCATTTTGATAAATAAAGTTATGAAGATAGACAAGGTTGTCCAGGAGTAGGCTATAGAATAAAAGAGATGAGGAAAAGAGGATCAGCAATGTTCAGGGGACAGGCAAAGGAGGCAGGTCCAGCAAAGGAGATGGGGTGACTAAATGAATACCGAGAAAGTGTGGGCTCATGAAAACCAAGGAAGGAGAGATTCATAAAGAAGACAAGAGTCGATACTGCAGAGACTTCAAGAAGAGGATCAAAAAACCCATGGATTTGTCAATTACAAGATTAATGGTGACTTCACAAAGGGGGATGGCTGAGGTAGGAACTTTAGCAGGTACCAAGTGCAGAGGAGGCTATGTGATGGAGAGAGCATGGGTCCAAGAGGCAGACAGACTAGGGTTTCAAATCCCAATTCCACCATGTACTAGCATGTTGCTCAACATCTCTGTGCCTCTGTTCATTTTTAAGTGGAGATAACAATCGTAAATACTTAATAAGGTTGTTGTGAGGCTTACATAAGCTTAATCATGTAAACCACTTAGCACAGTGCCTATCACACATGGAGTGCAATGTTCTATCTATTGGCTCAGAGCAGGAATCATAAACCACTGAAGATACCTCAGGCAGAAAGGTAATTAGGTGTCTACAAAACCACTGGGGTAGAGAAGTGGAAGTAAGGGAAAGTCAGGAGGGTGCCACTGGACTAATGATTTCAAGGTCGTATCATCACAGTTATGATCCACATTAGGAGGCTGCTGCTGCCACTACAGTCTCTCACTCACAAGGCTGTGAAGAGACACACTTGAATGTGGGCACAGAAGCCACAAATACATCTTAGGAATCACCTACCAAACCCTGAGAAAATAGCCTCTGCCCAACTTAAGCCTTCCAAATTTTGTTGGCAGAAGTGAACACGTATCTGAACCCACATTTTATCCATAACCCTAGCTGCAAGGGAGTCTGGGAAATGAAGAAACAGAAAAGGGATAGGAATGCATGTGGAGCAGCAGATAATTTCCACCTCATCAATCTTTAAGCGGAATGAATATTTTCATCCTGAGTGCTGACACCAGCATTCCAACTGTGGTCAAAATATAGGATTATCACTGATTGACAAAATTCTGCCAAATTCAAAGAGGAATCAGGACAGGAATAAATATCAAGGGATAATCTTGAGCAGGAAAATATGTCTGTCTCTAATATTGGAAAGCAAATGGTGAGCAGAGATATAGTTTATAGGTTTGGGCCAGAGGAAGAGGCATAGAGAAGTTAGGGAAGGTTCTATCTTATGGCATGTATTATCTCTGTAAAGTAGGGAGCAAATGTCATCTGCTCTGAGTGAAAAAAGTTGAGACTGGCTAGAGGGCTTGGTAAGAGCAGACTAGCTAATGAGGGAAATGGGAGAGGAAGCTGACACAGCACAAGAAATCTTTCTGCACACCGGCTAGCAAAAAAAGAAGCAAAAGACTTATTTTTATAAAGCACTGTTTATTTTTATGTATTGAAAATGTCCATTTTAAAATTCTTCAAAATAAAAACAAGTTAGAAAATTTGAGCTTGTGTTAAGAAGGGACAGGACAGAAAAGGAACTGAAAGGCCTCTAAGGGCAGCAGTTTAATTACAGGGCAACAGGAACCCATTTGTAGAGCATTGTAAACAACACAACTATGGAGACACTGCTCTCAGGTTAACATGGCTTCATTTCCTTTATATTATTGTTTAGTGTGTAAGCATGGTTACCACTCCACACAAGCTTTGTTATCCAGAGTACCGATGGCCCCTCATCAGAAGGGCCAAGTCCCCAAAACATGCATATGTACACATCACTGTAAAATGAAGACCTTTCAATATTTTCAGCAATTAGCTAAAGTATTTCATAATCACAAAAATGTTTTCTATAGATACAGTCTGCAAATTTATTGCAAGCCACTGACTAACCACAGAATGGGCAGATGTGAAGATCTGTGTTGATGTTGTCACTGGTGGTGATGATGTTTTTAATTTTTAAGTGAAGGATGTTATATTTAAAAGGCTGTGCTTAAAAACAGAACAACAGCCATTCCTAGAAATTTCTTTACTCTTCAGCTTCCAAACACGACTGTGTGTGTTTGGTTGATGTTAGACTGCAAGAATACTTCCTTTCCTGTGGATGGTGCAATTTTTGCTGTGCAGCAAGCAGACAACAGCCCTGTACCACATAGCTACGGGACACTGAGACTCTCAGTACCAAAAAGATAAAGGGCTCCTCAGCAAGCTGGGGGTTTCAAACTTCAAGTTTTGTTTTTTCAGAGACAGAGGTATCTCTCTGTCACCCCAGCTGGAGTGCAGTGGTGTCATCACAGCTCACTGAAGCCTTCACCTCCTGGGCTCCAATGATCCTCCCACCTCAGCTTCCTGAGTAGCTGGGACCGCAAGCGTGCGCCACCATGCCTGCCTTCAAGTTTGGTTTCTAAACATTTGCAAAACCCACATTTATAGGCATCCATCAAATATATTGTAAAGGCAATTTTGATCAGCACTTTGGCCTCACTTACCAGTGACCCTCCCTATCTGGCCAAATTTTTCTTGTCTTTAGGGGAGGGAGGGTGAGTTGCACTCAGCCTTAGGCCACCTTTCAATGGTGCTGAATTTGGGCGTGTGCTGTTCTGTGACTCTCTTCTAAACCTGGTTTCTCACAGTGTTAGTTTCTGGGATAAAGTGGATGGTTTGACTCAATGAGCAACTTGAGATAATCAGTCCCAAATAATCCAGCACAACTAGAGGGGCCCTTTGGTTCTGGATATACAAATTGGACCAGAAGCATATTTCTTCAAATACTGCTTAGAGTCCCACCCAAAGAGGCCAATGAATATTACAATTTCTCACAGCATACAAGAGAGAGTAATAAGGTGAATGAAAGCGGTCTACTAGGGCACAATATCTCCTTAATGCAGATAGTTTTGAAGGATAAAAGGTCACAGTTTGGATATGCAATGTACATAAGGTAATTGCTCACAGTCTAACTATGTTTTTTAAAAAGTAAGCGAAGCACATACATACTAGTTTACACACCACTTGGTACAGTTGGCTAAAAGCACTGGGGAAATAGAAAACTTACACACTAGGCAGAAGGTGAGGGAAAGAAACCTATCATGCAATGGGAAAAGGCAGTTAACTCTGCTACTGAGAGGGAGGATTGTCCAATAGAACTTGCTGATGGATTTGGTGTTGGTGTGGGTGACCAGAGCTTCTGCCCCCTGAGTTACAATGTACACAACACAAAAGGAATAAAAGTAGTACATTTTTCTTGGTTTTATAGACAACATAGGGCAGTAGTTTTAAAACCTGTGATTGACAGGTAGCCTGTGATGGTCTAAGGAAGGGCAGCTGGATCACTGGGTAGATGTGTTTGTCTTTCATCTTACTCTAGCCGTAGCTCTGGAAGATTTGCCTTCAGTAAATTAGGTACTAACAGGCTTGCAGGCAGAGGAAAGCACTAGGGGGACAAGTTGGGCTCACATTTAATAAGCCTTGGCCAGCTGCTTTGCGAGGGCAGCCAGCCCGCCCAGAGAATGTGACCCGAGGGCAATGGCTGTTGCGGAGGCACTGTGAACTGAAGGCAATCTGAAGACCCTTTAAGTAATTGGCCTGAGTTCGCTTTCCTTTTCTTACTGAACGGAAAAGACTCTGGGGCCATTTCTACCACCACCTCCTGCTTTTTCCCGTTGAAAAAAAACGAACAACCAAACAACAACAAATGCCCAAGCACGCGCGCGCGTGCACACACACACACACTCACACACACAGGAGAGAGAGGGAAGAGAGAGAGAGAGCGAGAGAGAGATACAGACTCAAACACAAAACAAAAGCCAAAGAAGTGAGCAAACTGAGTCAAATCATTCAGAGGCACATTTCAAGATGCCCTGAAGGCACACTCCACCCGGTGGCACAGTGATGGTTATGGAAGAATCGAGGTCTTGCTAGTGGACTCGGCTCGAATACATTCATCTGTTTGCTTCAAAAGCCTCCGAACCAGCTTTTCTAGGTCCTTTCTTGACTTCAATTCTTCTTCCAGGCATTGTTTCATTCTTTTATTTTCCTATGATGGGGAAAGATTTGTTGATTACCGAACAGAGGGGGGCCCTTCCCAGGGCTCCTCCTGCTCATCCTTTGGGCAGTTTTCATCACTGACTACCTTTCCTTCCTCAACCTCCGCTCCCTCAGCATCTATGACAAAGCAGCCCGTCGATTCTCCTGCCTGTCTCTGGGAAGCCTTTTGGATTCTTCTTCCCTGCCCTGACCCTCTTCTAATTTAACTGGCTCTTTAGTGTCGCTTCTCTTTCAAATCAAGTGTCTATTAAGCAGACTACCAAATATCTCTGGTACTGATCTTGTCTCCTGAGAACCAGGTCTACAATCTCAAATGCCAGCTTGGTATTATTATTATTATTATTTTAAGCGATGGGGGTCTCACTCTTTCGCTAGGCTGGAGAGCAGTGACGTAATCATGACTCACTGTAGCCTCAAACTCCCGGGCTTAAGTGATCCTTTCACGTACCTGAGATTACCTGGCAGCAGCTTGGTGTTTCCACCTAGATATGTCACAAGCACCTCGAACTCATCAGATCCTAAAGTGAACTCAGTATCTCTCTCAACACCCTAAACTTCTCCTTCTCCTGTGGTTCCTGAACTCCATGAAGGGCACTACCATATGCAACTGGACACCCAGGAAAGAAGCTTCACCTTTAATCCCTGGCTCTTTCTTAATCTCAAAATCACACTATCCTCATCTATATGTTCAAACTCTACAATGTCCCATCCTTTACTTTCACTCTGCTCTTTCCCAGCCTCATTGCCCTGCCTCAGTTCAGGACTTTGACATGTCTCACCCTGAGTTTTGTAAGAACCTCCTAAGTGGTCTTCCAGTCCCTGGTCTCTCTCCCCTGCCATCCATCCTTCACTCTGTCACCCGATACAGTCAGTTCTCACACACAAGGCACAGTGTGTGTCACGGAGCAATGGACCACATCAGCAGAAAAGCCCACAAACAATGATTAATGGTTCTCTTTACACTTACACAGTCATGAATGACTAGTCTTTTCTTAAGGTCTGTTTACGGATGTCAGAGAACAGGAAAGTTGTAACTAACTTTGGGAGTCTATTGTGAACTACTACATAGAAATATAAGCGAATATCAGAAATTTAAACTCAAGGCTCCATTATAAAGTCGACAAAACCTACCTTGATAACACAAGAAAAATAAAAATCTCCCCCTCACTACCTTGCTCCTAGGCCCTCCCTGACAGCATGACGGGTGTGAGTCAAGGAAAAGACAATGGTTTTGTCATCCGAGAAAATGACTTTTATGTTTTATTACCTGCTTCAGTTCTTTGACCTCGTCCTTCAAGGCGTAAACAGTATCAACAAGGCTCCTAGAACATAGAGATAAAATTCAGAGACAAATGGCTTGCACCGACGTACTGTTAAAATACTTGACAATAAAAGCCACTTTATGAGAATACAGATCCTGAAAAACAGTGGACTTTCTAGCAGGAACGGTACTGCTCTGAATGGTCTCTATCGTCTTTATTTTGATGGAGGAACAACCACCAGCACACATGCTTAGCTAAAGACAACGTCATTACCCCTTTTCTATACTTCCCTTCTCCTTTCCTATTCACTTCCCAGCCTGGGTGAACAAAATACAAGAGACCAAGGCCCATCACAAAGTTTTTGTTTTTCCAGCTTGGTTGAGGGATAATTGACAAAAGTGTGCAATGTGATGTCTTGATATATCAAGATATAAGTGGTCACCAGAATCAAGCTAATTAATATATCCACCTCCTCACATAGTTACCTTTTGTATGTGTGTGGTAGAAACACTCAAAATCTACACTCTTAGCAAAATCTACACTCTTATACTGCATTGTAAACTACACAGTCTTCCTTCCCTTGGTATCCACGGGTTATTGGTTCAAGGACGCCATGGATACCAAAATCCACAGATGTTCAAGTCCTTAATATAAAATGGCATAGTATTTGCATATAACCTATGCAAATCATATCTAGATTACTTATACCTAATATGACGTGAATGCCGTGTAAATAGTTGCTTTACCATTTTATTTAGGAATAAACAATATGGCATAACACAGTGCATATATATATCAAGACATTACATTGTACACCTTTGCCAATTATCCCTCAACAAAGATGGAAAAAGAAAAACTTTATTAGGTATGAAAAAATCTGCACATGTTCAATACAGATACAGCCATCTATTTGTCTCTGAATTTTTTTTAATCGGGGGTTGGCTGAATGCACAGATCCAGAGCCCACACAGGCAGAGGGCCAAATGTGATCAGCATGCTGCACATTAGTTGTCCAGAACTTACTCATTCTGCATACCTATGACTAATATCTCCCCATTCCCCCTTTCCCCTCAGGCCGTAGAAGCAACCATCCTACTCTCTGTGTTTAGCAGTGTGATGTTTTCAATTCCCATCATAAGGTTTTGATTTCCCTAGCTTTAGGGCAGGAATGAACATCACCTATCATATAAGGAGAGGTATCACAAGACTGCCTATTCTACACTATCTGTGCTGTGACATTGCCCTTCTCAGTTCTCTGACTGCACATGACACAAAGTCAGAGGCATTCTTTCTGGAATAGCCCAACCATATGTTACCCAAAAAAGGATGAAGTACCCTGGTTAGGTTGTGAAACCGCCTTTTCCTCTCTGGGTCTCCTCCTTGATAAAGATTTTGGGAATCTAACTTTCGGTTCTGATCCTGCCACTTACTAGTCCTCTGTTCTCCAGGAACCAGTTTCCTTCCCATCCTCTCATGGTCTTAGTTTCTTTACATGTAAAATGGGAATAGTAGCACATTTTCTAAAAACCTCACCAAGTTGTAAGAATGAATATAGTTACAATAAAAATGAGTTTAATATCATTATTGAGTGCTAGCCTTTATACGGATTTCTTTTAACCTCACAATAACACTGAAAGCATTACCATCATCCTTATTTTACATATGAGGAAACTGAGGCACAGAGAGGTGAAGCAACTTGCCCTGGGTAACACAGCTAATGAGTAGCAGAATTGGGAGTTGACCCAGCAATGTTTTTCACTCAAGTGCAAGTGCTTTACCGTCTTGCTGTGTCACTTCACACACCAGATGTAAAACGCATTGACAATGCCAAGCACCTTGAAATATGCTGTCCTATGCAAATTTAGGCCTGACTTCAGAAATGACTCAGGTTTAGACAAATGAATTATTTGGCTATTTTGTGTTAATTTTATGAGCCAGAAGGTACTTAACCTGATTTTCCCCATTAGGTCACACACACTACTGTGTAAAGGTAAGCCAGAGACATAATTTCCCTGAACGTCCCGCACCTCAGTTTCTTTATCTGTGAAAGTAGTGAGAGTAATGCTTCTCTAACCGGATTGCTGCAGGATTTTAAATGATGTCAAATATGTGAAAACACAGCTCTGACTCAAAATGTGTGAGTGGTATCTCTCTGGGCAAAGAAATCGGTTCTGTGACTGGAATTCCCAGCCGCCTCCTAAACTTGTCCAGAGCACCGATGTCTGCATGTGCTCAGAAGCAGCTTACTGGATGGGGAGCTGGCTACAGGGGCAGCTGCCAGCCGGAGCTGCCCTGGAGGGTTCTGTCACCTCTGCCTTTCCTTCCCTCTTCCTTTGGTGACTGAACAGCCCTCTCAAATCTCCCAAAGCAGGCCACATTCCCAGATAAGGAGGGGTTGTCCATCATAGACTTTCCAGGAGCCCCACCATCCTGCCAGACCTTCTTGCCAGCCCCCAGACAAACCAGGCAAGGTTTTGCCTGCCCTACTCACTTTTCTTCCATGATAGTTTGGCCGTTGCTTCTGGTTTCTTCAATGATGAGTTTCTCTTCCTCAGGCAGTAGGACTTGTGGAATGGAATCTTTTCGAGTACCTACAAATAAGGGTTGCAAGAGGAAGGAGGAGGGAGAGTTAGCAGTGAAGAGTAGAAATGGTGGGTATTAGTTCCTTCCCACTATGGTTATAGAAGGGTCTTTGTTCATAGCATGTTGCTGTATTACACCCAGAGGGCAGTCACCCATCATTTGCTGATTAAATTTTCCTGACATGAGAAGTTCTAAATGGCCAGATACATTGATTTAATCTTCCCGAGGTGGGGAGCATTTTGTATTCAGAAAACTAATGTGGAAGAGCCCCTGTAATACCTATCCTCAACCAAGACCTCCATTCTTTCCTGTTTTGCCTCCTCTAGAGCAAAAAGCTGACCAGTGATCACGCTTCCCTGCAAATCTCCAGGGAAGGACACGCTACATCCTATGCTGCGGTGTTCTCTCTGTAGTAAAAGTCAGGCTGATAGTAACACTGCACTGAGACACTATGTGCTTAAAGGACCTCAGAAGCATCATCACCTCATTTGTTCTTTTTACAGTCTTATAGGGTAAGGTAGGTATGTCTCCTAAGACCATTTAAATCAAGGGTGGAGTGGGGTTTGGAGATGAACGTATCATCAGTGAAGATGTAGGTGTCCTCTGCTCAGAGTGTCTCCAGGCTCTGGGACAGAAGAGGTGACAGAACAGGCATGGGGGCCCAACCAAACAGCTCTCCTCCACCTCCTTCACTCTGTTCCATCCTCTCAGAGCTCAAGTGCTCAATCTTTGGTCTCCCTGAGCCACTGGCCTCCTCTCTTCTAGGCCAAGTTCCCTCAGAGGTATGAACACTCACTGCCTTCACTTGACCACCTCATCTTGAGGTGAGATGTGTCTCTGCCTTCTCCAGGGCCTAGCATTTGTATATGCTTATTACATGTAGCCCCCCCATATCTGTGGGTTTCACATCTGCAGATTCAACCAACCATGCATTGAAAATATCCAGAAAAAAAGTTAAAAATACAAACTTAAAACCCAGTGCAGTATAACAACCATTTACATACATTTACATTTATTAGTTATGATAAGCAATCTAAAGATGATTTAAAGTATAGGGAAGGTGTATGGAGGTGATATGCAAATACTCCACCATTTTATATCAGGGACTTGAGCATCCTCAGATTTTGTTATCTCTGGGGGTCCTGGAACCAATTTCCTGCAGATACCAAGGGACGAATACAAGTGGAAAGCAAACTGACTGAATGACCGGCTGAATGCAGTAAGAGCCAAGGGCAGTCAGTTCTAGAGAAACAAGACTTCTGGTTAGAGAGGGATAGAGGATAGGAGGTCACCATGATGCTAAATGGTCTGCTGTGTGACAAGCACAGTGCCAGACATCTTCCACATATAAAAGGTTGACCAGGGAGCAAGGGTGCAGTTGTGTCTTTTTAAGCCAGAGAATCTGGGTGCACCTCCCAGCTGCAGACTCATCCACTCTGCTGAATGTAAAAATAGGTGGGGGAGGAGGAGATGAGGTCAGATTTTGTAGAAGGGATGCTTTTGGTCTCTCCTTGTCCCCCTCTCTTTTCTATTTCTCAAAATAAAAACTGCCCTCACTTTCCTCTCCTGGCTCCTTGAAACATGTTATCAGAGATGTGCATGCCCAAAGCCACAGCCAGGTTTTCTCTGTGAAGCAGAGTGTGACAGTCCTCTCTTTATGGCCAAATGTGTCAACTTTCACATTGAAGTAATGCTTGCTTGCTTGCTTGCTTTTCTTTTCTTTCTTTCTCCTTCCTTCCTCTCTCTTCTTTCTCTTTCTTTCCTTCCTTCCTTCCTTCTTTCCTTTTCACTTTTTTTGAGATGGAGTCTCACTATGTCACCGAGGCTGTAGTGCAGTGGCGCGATCTCAGCTCACTGCAATCTCCGCCACCTGGGTTCAAGCATTTCTCCTGCCTCAGCCTCCCAAGTAGCTGGGACTACAGGTGTGAACCATCACACCCTGCTAACTTTTGTGTTTTTAGTAGAGACAGGGTTTTGCCATGTTGCCCAAGCTGGTCTTGAAATCCTGGTCTCAAGGTATCTTCCCACCTTGGTTTCCCAAAGGGCTGGGATTACAGGCATGAGCCATCATACCCAGTAGAATGCTTTATTTATGTCAGCCTTAGAGATGCATCACTTTTAAAGAATATGTCAAGGCACCTAAGACATCACCTCCCACATTCAAATGATTGGTCGCTGGCTGTCCAAAATGGAGTACTATGGAGTATTCATTTCTTATGTAGATGCAAAAACTTCACAGAGGTATTCTGAATGTCTATAATAATGGGAGACAAAAGACATATTCGAAGTGACCTGGCTTTTAAAAAGCATAAGGATGAATCAGAAAATATTATCTCACTTTCAGATTGTAACCTGAAAGTTGTTTGGGGAAATACCCTAACCTAATAGCTCCCTGATAAATTTGATACGTTTTGAACGACCTCTGCTAAGTAGCTACATTTCCAGACTTTCAGAGCAACTTTGAAACTTAGTTTGGTGAAGCATTGCTCGTATAAATATGCAGCTGATCAAAGATAATATTTCGACTTCCTTTCCAAATCTGCCTATAAGAAGAGATTAGCATCTGTTCACAGACACAGGAACTCTCTGGGCTCTTTAATTCCTAACTAGTGTTGGTGAAGGTATCTGTGTACTTCAAAGGAGAACAACTTCTAATTGTTTTTCATTTCTATCACCTCCAACTCTTTTACTCTTGCATCTCTCTTTCTGGGTGAAAAACAACAGTGGGTAAACAAACCGCTTGGTAGCTAAAACCACCTTATCTGAAAGATGCAGTCCTGCACCACTCCTCTGCACCAAGTCACCTGCTTTCCACACCCTGCAACCCATCTAGATCACTTTTTTCTTTTTCTAAGAGACACCAAGTAGTAAAGAAGAAACGTCACTCACTAGAGAAAGTAGTTTGGGGGAACCTACTTGAGCCATGGCCTTGTTGAAAATTGGCGCTGGTACAGTAGGCTTCAATCACTTTAAGGATCTGGGCATCCTCTTCCAGAGCAGCTGTACCTGTCAAATTAATTCATTGTGACTTTTCATAAATATATGCCTTTGGACCCTCAAAATGGTGCAGCCCACTCCACTGCCTGGGACTGGCTTCTCTGACCAGTAGAGTCTGTGAAAGTCAGGAGAAAGAGCTGTCCAAAACTGGTGATGGAGAAGAATGATAGCATCATCATGGAGCTTTGGAGTCAGCCTCAGTGAGTTCAGCTTAGTGGGGTGCCTACTCCTGAAGCCCAGAGCTCCGCAATGGGAAGGGTGGGGGTTCTGTCAGTGGTCTCAGTGAGGCCAAAATCCCAGCACTGAGTTTAGGTGTTAGTTTAGCTCCCACTGGTATACGCCAGCCATTCTCTCCTTAAAATATCAAGGCTCACCTTTAGGAAGCTTTCCCTCATTAACCCAGTCGATGTAGTCCCTCATTCTCCCTCCTCTCTTGTCCCCTACTCCAAACTCATTCTTGAAATGACTGGATGGCAGCACCATGTGAACATGCCAAAGTGCACAACCAGGTGTGGCGTGGGGGGTGGGCATGCCAAAGCTGAAGTGGAGCAAAGGTTTATCCAAACTATATTTCCAGCTGATACACACAGTTCTGTCACCTCTTTGTGAGACACTGCTCACTCCTTCACGTGTCCCAAAGTACCTTGTTCACAATCTTATAGCCAAATATGTCCATATCGATTGGCTGACTGATGTTGCAGTCTGTCTCCAAATGAAGCCATGTTTCTAGATGTGGGCAGGCTGATTCCCTGAGGAACTAAGAGCATCACTGAGCATGGGACTTCTGGAAGGACTTCAGCCTTCGGGTCTATTTAGTCTATCTCCCTACAGAAAAATATCTCAAGCATCAGAAACTAAGAGGGGAAAAAATGTATCCATAAGAAATGGGTCCCTTTAGAGCTTCTAAACCAGGTGAGGCAAAATATTCAACACGAAATAATACAGACGACATCTGCCTAAGATGACATGAAGTGCAGCCGTAAGAAGCTTATTCAAATGTTTAAGAAGTGACCAAAGCCTTCCATGCATTCTTCTTTATATGTAAGAGACAATGTCAAGAAAAAAATTGCTCTAATCATCTGTTTTCAAATAAATCCTCAAATAAAAGGAGATTCTCATGTGAATTTATCCATAAATGACTTTCAGAATGTACAAAACACATACTTTTCCTAATCGCATATTCTTCCTCCGAAGGTTTTCTCTCAGTCTTCCTTTTATGAAGAAACTTCTTCATTGTTTTAGGACTTTTACTAGATTCCTGTAAGGACACAGATTTCTTGATGAATTAAAATCCCCCCTCCAAAACAAATTTAAAAGCGCAAATGAAACGAAATAGAATTCCTCTCTCTCATTTTGACAATCTCAGTTAGGAGTACATCACAATTAAAATGGTTCCAATAAACTCTAAAAGGTTAAATAAAACAGAGGCAATGACATTATCCTCTTAATCTGCACAGAGGTGGGACTAAGAGTGGAGTGTGCCTACTGAAAATGTGGCAGATTCTCCAGGAGCCCAAATGCCTTTAGGGAACCATCTGCAGAGAAAGTAAGGGGTGTCAACCCTAGAAACATAACACTATTCCTAATTTAGTTCACATTCTCCACTGGTAAAGTTTTAGGGGATTAAATAACTACTGGAACCACGAATGTAGTACTGATCGCTTTTCAAAGAACTTCAAAGTATTCAAATAATTTTGCCTCAGAAACAGTCCCACAAAAACAAATGTAATTTCCATTTGTGAGACAGGAAAATTAAGGCAGAGAGACAAAGTCATTTTCCCTCAGTCAGAGAGAAGAATCAAATAAGGGATTTCCTAATAAATAATTTTGGATTAGAAGTAACATACTCACAGCCAAGCTTAACTATATATATAGCCATGTATTTAACTAGTAGACAAAATAAATGTATTGAATTTGTTTTTGCCATATGAGTAACCAGCAGTTCAAAAAAAAGATACTCATTGTCAATATCCTTAATCCTTAATCCAACAATCTGTAAACAGATTAGAACCATAGACTTAAAAAAAAAAAAGAACCTTAGACTTAGGAAAAAACTCTCATGATCACCTTATCCCAATTTTCCAGCCAATGTGTGTACGTGAAGCATGTGTATTAATTATTAATAGCACCTTAAAAATATAGGAAACAAATAATTTAATTTATTTCACTTAGCCACAGTACTTACATTTGAAATAAGATATAACAAATTCTCATGTGACAAAAATAACAAGAAAAAGCAGCATTTTTAAAAAAAAAAAAAAAACACAGGAAAATTGGCATTTAGGGCATTGTGACATTTTATATGTATTTCACATGAGCCTGCTTTTTGAACAAAGTACTTACATGCCAGAATTGCATCTTCGTATTTTAGCCACCATTTATAACAAGGGACAAAACAAGCATAAGGGAAAGTTTCATTCATCAAAGGTTACAGCTCAGTATTATGATGTCACTGTAAGCCAAAGATATTGTTCTACCCTTACCTTTAAGATATAAGACATCCTCTAAAATGAATATGTAAAGAAAGAGAAGATGAGCGTGAGAGGTCGATGGTTATAATGACCAAATCCACTTATCAATAATTCTAAAACAACATTTGAAATGTTAGTGTTATCATAAATTACACAGAGGGAATATCATCACATTTCCCACATTAGTTTCAGATGCAATATTATCATGCAAAAGCCCGAGGAATACAGTTTTGTGCAGAATAACAAATGCTGCGAACAACTGAAATACATACTACCTAGTAAGAATATATTAATAACTCTCTTCCCCCAGCAGAAACGAAGTGATCATGCCTTAGTTTTAATAGATTAGTTATGTGAAGGATTAAGTCAACTTTGCTCTTCAAAGCTCACCTTAATTTGAACTTAGTACTGATAATTACAAAATATCCAACATAACAAAGGGGACCTAGGTAACTATGAAGTTGTACTCCTGGTTTACATCATCAAAGAAGAAAATTGGATGATTGCAAGAATTGCAGGTAAATTTCCAAAGCAAAATGTGTGGGACTGCTTCCTGACCAAATTCTAAATAGAGTTATATAACAAAGATTCAGTCAAGGGTTGTTTGCCCTAACATATCAAGTTGAGAGGATCAAATAATGCTCCAGTGTCCAAATACTGTCCTATGTTTACTGCCCTTAGAGTTGGAAGAAACAAATTAATCGAAACAAAAGCAGGGTGGTTTAAATCAAAACACTCAAAACTGAGCTAAGGCTACATCACTCATCAAAACACACATTTGATCAAGAAATATATGCTGCTGTTGCCCCATAATTCTAAGACTCATCTCGTAACTGTCACAAACTTAATCATCACTCAACAAGACCAATTTAAAGAACAGTTACTAATAAATGAGGATCTTCTCTGAAATCTGAAATGATTAGAGACAGGCTAGGGATAAAGCCACTGTCTGGATGAAAAGTAACACGCCACACAGTTACAGAAGCTAGTGACTGACACTTCCTGACTGCAACTTCGAGAGAAAAAAATACAAAAAATCTCTAAATCCCCACACTGCCCAAATATCAAATGGCCTTTGAGGTTGTCTCTGAGAAGCCTCTTTTTAAAAGACACTCCTTTCATCAAATTCTTTTCTCATTCCAATTGTAGCAAATATCGCTTTTATAGTTTGGACTCATGGCTTGGTCCCATAACACTTTACTAATTTGGTTCAAATTGATCAAAATGATCCCAAATGCTGAATTGTGTCTGCTTCATTGCCAATTCAACTACAATGAAGTGGCTCTTGTTTGAGATTTGTGTACATTATTACCGAATACAAAGAATTAGCATAATAATCATTAAGGTAAACCAGAGGCACTTCAGGAGGAGACTGGGAACACTCAGGCAGTGCACATAGACCCTGTAGATATTCAATACATATTTTCAGGTGGACAATGGGAAAGTGAAAATTAAGAAACAAATCACCGAGTCTAGCAATTCAAGACTGACTCGCATATACCACCTATCTTAAATTCTAGCACATTCCCACAGAACTACGTGTAATAAGCTGCGAAATTAACTTGTCAGAAGCATTTCATACCATAGGTAGCAAAATTACCTCTTTATAACCTAGTGCTGCTGATGGTCTAAGTGGAGGTGCAGGTCGTAGACAACTTAAACTCCACGGTTTTATAATTTGAGGAGGCTCCAAGGGTCCTCGGGGCTGTCCGGTAGAGCTAAAAGACTGGGAAAATGTCTGATGAGATTTTGGCAATCTGCCATCTGAACCCAACCTTGTGCCACACAATGAGAGAACAATAGAAAGTTTGAGAACTGGCTCTTTCCAGTCAAGATTATGGGGTCTCTAAGGAACAGCACAAAGTTGACTCAACATTCCATGATCCTGTCCTCTCTTTGTCATCTGGAATTTAATTAATTTACATTTCTTTCCTCTGTAAGGAAGGAAAATGGAATAACAATCAACATTTGAGTTCAGCGATGTGTTTGGCACTCTGGTAGGTGCTTAAATAGGTTATTTCATGAGAACAGCCTAAGACATAGACTCGGCCAAGTGAAGTAACTAACTAGTAATTGGCAAAGCCAAGATTTGAACCCAGATCTGAAGCCAAAGCCCATATTCTTCCGACCACAACACACAGTGCTCAAAACTGGAATTTTGGCATCATAGGTTTGTATGTTAACAAACAACACAGCGTATCTTCCATCTCACTCAGCAAGTACAGTAAAATCTCATCAATTCAAATTCCAAATTCTAAATTTGTAAGTCAGAAGGAGACAATGCTAAAAGTTTACCTTTGAAGAAGGTTACTGAGCAAGTGTGAGAGCATGAGTGAGGTGACATGGAGATGTTTAAGTACTTAGGGAGGTAAACTATCTGTTTTGACTTAGCCCATTGTTAATAAGAGAATAACCATTGCTCATGAAAATAAGCTCTGCTTATCATTAAAATATTTTAGCAGGACTTCTGGTTAGAAATACTTTGCTAGCAGTTAGTTGGGGTATCAGAATACTGTCAAACAGAACTGCACACCTCTAAGTAAATCTTTTCATTAATTTGGATGGGCCCCGTAATGAGAAATCAGAATAAGTGAAGTTTAACTGTACTTCAAAATCTACAAATATAGGCTGCCCAAAAGACTAAGGGTGTGCTCACTGCTTCTTGTAAGTCTCCAGCAGGCAGGAGTTGATGAAAGACTCAATAATCCCTGGACAGAATACATGGACTACTTACAGAATGAGCACTACATGATGACGATGATGTTTTGGATAATGAACTGCAAGAGGCAGGTCCTCTTATCAGTCTGTTCAGCTGCTCCAACCATTCCTGGAAGTCCTGGTTGTTGTTGCAATGGACCACAATTCTCTCTACTGTGTTACCTACATTCCCCAATTATGATCAATTTGAAAACAAAAGACAAGGAAAAACTTGAGCTTGTCCCATTCAGAAATACACTTCACGCGACTAGAACTTGGGTGTGTATTTTCAGGGGTTTTCACACCTATGGGATAACCCTGTTGAAACTTCTATATCAGAAACAGATAACCTGTGATAATAAAGTAAATAAATATTCGTGTCTGATTTAGAAAACTCTCCTTGATTTTTACTGCTTACAGAAGTTTAAAAGTAGTGTAAAACTTCACTATAAACAAACTCACAGTCCAAAAATGTAAGCACGTAGTCCATCTAGTTAAGTCTAAAGTGGGACTATTGTACTGGTTCTCCCAGTATCAAAGTTGGAACAAGATCCAACTAAGGCTGTTTACAATCTTTTGACAAACACCAAACCTTAGGATCCTTCTTGGGAAAGAAGAGAGTAAGGCTATGATCCCAGTCTTAGCCACTGTGCCGTATCAGAACCCACAGTGAGGCCACTACATATAAATGACACAGGCCTTGCAAAAGGGATCATAAGCTAAAATGTCAGGGAGCATTATTAAGCCTCAGCATCGTGCTCAATTTGTGAACATAGTTTCATGGCTTTCCTGAACTTTTTAGAAACATAACCAAATCTTGCTAACTCGGGCTGATGATGAAATCGCTGATAAAAGTCCATATCTTTGGCTTCTCTGTCACCAGGGAACAAATGACAGAAAGGGAGAAAATTACATTTACATTATTCCATTTTGTTATTCCTTAGCTCTCACAAGTAGCTCTCATGCAACAGAAGATTGAAACTAATGGCAAAGCCACGGCTTTTGAATGAGAAGAGACTTCTCTGTTCTATTGCTGTACCCTAATCATCCCAGGAAATGGAATATACTTTGCCATGACCATGTAAAACTTGCTCGTGGCCTATGTAACAGAAAATGACGGCATTTATTTATTAAATTCCCCTTCATTGCAAAAGGAATTGGAAGTAGTTACATGAAAAAGAGAAAATTACCTACCAGTGATTTCAAATGTGCAGTCATTCCCTTCAATTTCATCTAATCTAGCCACCATTGTTCCTGGTATTGGTATTTTTCCCTATTAGAAAAAGAACATTCTCATTAATTCTGCAGTTATAGGAGTCTCTGTTTATTTCAGAGTGTTAGATTTTCTGACCCTCTCAGCACTGCAAAATTATGGCTAGATGTATTTCTCCAGTCTGTCAATGGATAATATGTTTCCCTGCTCTAAATTTTAATCAGACAAGAAAGCAACGGGGAAATGTGGATTGTGTTTGGTTAACACACCCTAAACTGTTAAGATCATGATTTACAAAGTAGTTTACTTTTCTAAAGCATTTTCATAAGAAACAGTTAAAAAAGAAGAGAAGGCTCAGATGTTATGAAAATTATTAATTGCCAGGCCAAGATGTAACAGGCAATAGTAACTTTTAATACTCTATATCTTGGAGCAGACTGAGGGACATTTAATTTCCTAAGGAGTTTAATAACATGCTTCTTAGAAGCCTGAATCATGTGATCTGACTATAATCAGACAAGCATAGGAGCAGATCTCAGCTTTATGTTTTCTCAGCAATAATGACATGGGCCTGTACAATACTGCTGCTAATTTATCTAGTTTCCATTTATGCATTCAAAACCCAGAGCATAACTAAAGCGGTGGATATATTCAAGATAAACTCATTACACTAATACAAAGATCTTTGATCTAAGGAACATCTGCTCTTAGACTCTCTTTTTAATTAAAATGAACGGTCAGAACATTCTGGTTCTCTTGGCTTGAGCTTTTAATGCCATAGTGGAGATACTGCATCTGGTTGGAAACCTGTTTTCATTAGGGGGTCTGCTGTGTGTTTTATATGAAATCTACTAACCTGATAGATAAAGCCACTCATCCGAGGACTTGCAGATAACATTATCAGGACATTTGAAAATAACATAAGGTACCGCTCCTCTTTTTCCTGAGAGAGAATGAACAATATTATTTGAAGAACAAAACTGGACATTTTATTTGTTGAGAATTTCTGGAATCACTGCCTTATAGCATAGACCTTATATAAACAACAGAAACATTAAAAGTGATTTTTTTAAAAAAAAAGATATCCAACTTGAAAACAAAAACCTAGTTGAATTTTACTTTGAAATGGACATAAACCCACAGTTCTCTCTCTTCTTCCTATATATAACAGTTAAATACAAAGAACCATGCTTGCTTTCCATGTATGAAAGCCTGAGAAGAAACCACAGTTTATGCAGCCAGCAAGATGTGCTAGTCCTAGGCACAAAATAAGTCTCCAGGTTCACAAAATGAAAATATATTTTATTTAGAAAAAAATGGCAAAATTAAGGGGTTTTCAGGTGATAAGAAATGTAGTATGCTCTAAAATATATGTTAAAGTCATATGCATAAAATTCGCTTTAGTCATTAAGAACAGGGTAATTATTGGATTTACGTAAAATGTAAAAGTAGATACACTTTTTTAAGGGCACTGAGGAAACCTTTACACATGAGAAGAGCCCCTTCAACAGATATGCAATTAGTATACTCAAAAATTACATTTAGCTTACATGCCCAGCCATCTTAGCTACAATTACGCCTGTCTCCATCTCCTTCCTTCCATTTGAGAAGAGGAACCGTTCCAGGCTAACTATTCTAAAAAGCGCTCCGCATTCTCTCACATCTTTGTCTCACTTAGTTTTCCTCTACAGACATCTCCTCTTCTCCCAGCATCCTCTCCTGTTTTACTAGCTTTTCCTCTTTTCCTTTACACACACCTCCTGTCCTAACAGACCTTTGCTTACCCCCATGTGGCTATTTATGCGTAGTTTCCCATTTCTTGACATTTTATTGCCAGATTAGTTGCTGCCTTCATTTTCTCCCCATTGATCCATCCCTAACTGCACCCCCACTGCTCTTGCAAAGTCATCAATAACTGCCTTCTAGCAATATCCAATGGCTTTCTCTTGGTCCTCACACTCCTTGCCCTCTGAACCTTCAGCAGCAGTCGGTACACTGGCCATTTTCAAATGCTCCTCATGGAATTTCTACAACTCATGCTCCCCAATTTCTTCTCTACCTTCTTGTCTTTTTATTTTTTTATAGCACTGATTCCTCCTGCCTTCACCCAAGAGGTTTATCCCAAAGGTGTGAATGACTAATAGTTAGACTCACGACATTAACCTTCCCTGGGGTATCTGCATTTTAAATGAGATTGCTTATTAACCCAAAGTAATGAATCTCTGCCAAAGACGTGTCAGAGTGTAGGAAGATGTTTTGGGAGAAGGAAGACAATTCTAACACCCGATAAATCAAACCAGGTGCCATAATCAACCTTCCTCCCTTTCCCTGGCCCCCTTCCTAAAAGAAATAATCCATCTTCAGCCCCCGGTGCTTCTCTCTGGATATTCACTTCCTAGGAAGGCACATCTGTTAGGGACATCTAGGTCTCTGCCTCTAACTCTGACCTCTCACCCACATTTCCATACTACGTTTACAGCTGCCTATGTAACATCTCCACCCAGATATCTACAGGTCTAAAACTATATTCTTCTTCTCCCCTAGCCCAGGGGCACCACTTCCTGTTGACTTTCCCTTCTAAAGGTGCCTCTGATTTTCCCCTTCTCCATTCTCTCTGTCACCACCATCTTAGGGGGCTCCTTTTCACTTTCCCTCGCAGCTGGCCTTTCTGTTTCTCATCCATCCCTTCCAGTTCACTTGACATATATGGGTGTCAGATTAAGTGTGAACCATCCCTTTCACAGTGTTGTTGTATGACTCTGGACTCTTTCATTACTTCCCATGACTTGCTGCATCCATCTGAACTACTCTTGCCTGATGTCAACGTTCTGCATAATCAAATTCTACCTGACTCAAGCAATCTTTTACTATGGCCAAGTTGCCTCTTTTGCTCCCTATAGGCTGGTTTCCTTATTGTGCTGCAGAAAACCAAAGGCACATTTCTGTTCTCTCCTAAGATAACAATGACCTCTGCCTTATGGAATCCTCCCCTTTTGTTTTTGTGCTCCCTCCTCAAGTCCTGTCTCCGTAAGATCTTGATCTCTTCCTCCTCTGAACATCTATGGACTTTTGTTGAGATTGCGAAATTGAACATTGACTATTTGGTTTGTTTGCTAGTTGCAACTTGTGTTTTAGTCTGTTTTTAATGAGTTCTTTGAAAACGGGGATAATTGTTTGCTCTTTTCTCCTATCTCCCACAGCACCTAAAAGAATGTTGAGCAAAGAATAGCTGCTCAGCTTCTCATTTGAATGCTGTAGCATTTGACTTTGATGGAAGAAGAAGGAAGATAAACTACTTAAGAGGCTCGGGCAGGAGGATTGCTTGAACTCAAGAGGCAGAGGTTGCAGTGAGTCAAAATCATGCCACTCCACTCCAGCCCTGCTGACAGAACAGGACTCTATCAAAAAAGAAGGAAGAAAAATATGAAAGATGGAAGAAATGATGTTGAGATTTGAAGCACCTTACCTCACATGTTCCATACTGCACCATTACTTGTGACATAAAAATCACATTTCCCAAGTTTTTAATATCCTCTCCTTCCCATGCCTGAATAGGTTCAGACAGTATCTGTAACTCCAGCTGTTTTCTCTTCCTCAGATCTTGACATTGCCCCTACAGAATCAAAGCAGAACATAATGGACTGGGAATTCTTATGAAACAGAACTAAAATAAGGCCAAAGTAATTTGTGGTTCCCGCCGAGTCCCTATTCCTCATCATGAATCCCATGACCAGGCCTGTTCTTGATAGATAGAAAGATCCACTACCTGAAATTTCTAGCCTTGAGCCCCCAAAAGTTTTGTGAGGAAGGCTCATTTTTCATTTTGCCAAAGTAAAAATTCTTTACAGGGAGGGAATTGGTTTGAATTTTTACTATGTTATCATGAAATTGTTTCTTGGTTTGAATTTTTACTATGTTATCATGAAATTCAGTTGTATCTCTTTTTTACTTTCCCGCCATGAAACAATTTCATGTGTGTGTATATATATATTTATATACTTCGGAAACTGTGCTGTTATCTTAGAGTAATTTAACAGCATGCCTTCCAAATTGAATACGAAAATAAGCATATGGTTAGTTCTGTTACTGTTTCCAAATGAATGTAAGATAACATTTTTAGGGGTTATATTTTCTATAAAATCTCTGCTGTCCCTTTCAGCTACATGGAAACTCAAAGAAATACATTCACTGTACACATATTTTAAGAGCACCTATAATAGGAATAAATATACTAAATCATCAAGGCAAGTTATATAACGTAATCAGAAAGAAATACAGGTTTTTTAATTGCATTTTAGGTTTTGGGGTACATGTGAAGAACATGCAGGATTGTTGCACATATAGGTGATGGGGAGGAAGGCAGCAAACCACATTGCCATGTATGTAGAAATACAGGTTTTTAAAAAGACTCATTTTACATTCCTATTTATACAAGAAAAAATAGAAGAGCCATAATTATAATAAATGCTGTGGGTTTCACTGGGCTGTTCTGTTAGCTTAAGCCATGTAAAACTGCCAATATTGGACTATTCTGGCATATAGCAATCGCAATTTTAACCTAATACTTACTCTGGTCTTCAGCTTGCTGTTCAACTACGGACACGTCAATTACTGGTCTTTCAACAAGGATTAATAACTAAACATTAGTTCAAATTACTTACAATGCTACAGAATTGTGTGAAATAAAGCTGAGCTTAATAAATTGCCTAAAATAAAGTTTTCTTTCCTCCTAAAATGGCACCAAGTGGTTTTACATCAGTGGGTTCAAGAAGACGCATTAACTACCATACTGAAGATACAAGATCACAGGTACTTTTGATAGCAACCTATATAAAGCAATTGCATTTTAGTACTTTGGGTTCCCCCCGCCTTTTAGATTTGATGAAGGATTTCTTCTTCATATGCAAAGAACAAACTCATACCCTTTGGCATAACTAGTTGAATCCAGTATTGATGCAAATCAGTGAATGACGATTTACACATACTCGTCATTAGGTGAGCAATGGGGGTAAAGACAAAGAGACAAAAGGAAACCCCCCACCTACACACCAATGCTTAATGTGGCTTAATGTGGCTGAGACTGTAAATGTGATTGCTTTATACCCTCAGCCTGGCAACCTTTCTTAGGTGAGCATGATTTTTGGAGGATAAAATTGAGTGAAGCAATCACTGCTATACTGTCGTGAAAGCTTATTATTTCCTTTCCAAAGAACTTTGCATAAGGAAAGAAACGTTGCACACATATTACTCTTTCAGGAATAAAGTATACAAAGTGGAGAATTCTAATTTTAAAGCATCACCTACCATGAGAGTTTTGAATGCTACGATTGCCTTCAGAATGTCCTGATGATCCGGATGAGTATCCTATTAAAGGAATACATTTGGAAACAGTATTAGAGGCGAGAGGGTCAGCAGCTGCCAAGGGTTTGGGGTAGAAGGAGGGCGTAGCTATAAAGACAGCAAAAGAATTTTGAGGGATGATGGAACTGTTCTGTATTTTAATTGTGGTCGTGGTAACATGAATCTATACCTGTGTGAAAACTCATAGAACTATGCACCAGAAAAAAATGTTAATTTTACTGTATACTAATTTAAAGATTAAAAAATAGAGCAGCATGGGAGCATTTGGTATCTCAGTGAATCTAATTCTTAGATGGTTAGGAAATTAAGAGAGTTGGTAACACATCATATATTTAGTAATGATGTAGTAAAAGGCGAGAGTTCCCATTTCCCTTTTTGCTATTATACTTTGGATAATGACTATTTAATAATCAATATAATAATTCAATAATTATTCAGGGGACATTATTAGGTCATGTTGTTGGTAGATGACAGGAGGTAGGGAATTGTGGAAATAAGAGAAAAATCAACCTATTAGCCGGGCATGGTGGTGCATGCCTGTAGTCACAGCTACCCGGGAGGCTGAACTGGGAGGATCAGCTGAGCCTCGAGGTTGTGGTGAGCTGTGATTGCATCACTGTACTCCAGCCTGGGTGACAGTGAGGTGAGACCCTGTCTCAGGAAAAAAAAAAAAAAAAAAAAAAAAAAAAAACAGAAAAATCAATCTCATTTCATTTCCTAAAATGCCTTCATTTTCTTTCAGAAGTATGAACATGGCAGATGGGAAAAGATTCCAAGTTTCATACCATGATTTCCTTCTTAAGTTAGGCTTTTGCATATGGCCTGCAATCCTGTGGTACTTTCAATTCTGAAAAGTGGACAGATTCAAAAATGGCTTAGAGGAATCCACAACTCCATAACTGTTTATGAAGGGAAGGTAGAGATTCTTATGGGTAGATGTGCACCTAACATTGGGGCATGTGAGGTATCTCCATATACCTAACCTGCAGAACTTAGCTGGAGTAAAGGAAGACTAAACCTCCTGCCCCACCAATCTCAGGTGATAAAATACAAAACCGAACAGATTAGGGGCCTGACCCAAGCCAAGAATGACATTGCTCATAAAAAGTAAGGTTGTATTCCTTTACAGTAACATTTATCCTTACCCAAATCAACAGACACGAAGAATTTCAAGATCTGCTCTACTGTTAGAAGCCATGCCAAATGCTCTGAAATCTGCACAAAGTTTCTCACCCAGTAGTGAACTAGTACCAAGGGCTTGTATTTTCTGATGACGGGAAATGAGAGGCAGCCAAAGACGTGTGACCCACAGCAAATGGAGGCAGGAGAACAGGCTCCACTACAAGAAAGGCTGAGACGTAGGATCCAGGCAGCAGGAGCATCTGGGATTTGTTTCTCCCGAAACTAAGTGCATATTTTTATTTCGGCACTGAAAAGTAATAGAAACTGAGGCCACTCGTTTCTGGACTTTTGTGATAATCAAGGAGGGGCAAACCTCAAACGGTTCAGCAAACTGGTCTCGTTTATGGAAAGGCATCCAGAGGTCAACACCTTCCTGAGCCCTAACTGAAATTTCACACTGGCAGGCTTTACTCACCAGCTCCCCACTACCTCCAGCTTTCAGGTAGGTGAAATACCCTGAGAATGTGGTTTTGCTCAGAGAACGTGCTTTCAATCCTTATAAACGCTGACAAGCCCGGCAGAGTGCACTCGTTTTCTTTAAAGATAATCAAACCCCTTGAAACCTCAAAACCTTTCCCCAGACACAGGAAGAGCAACTAGGGTAAGTGCAGCCTCCTCCAGCAGGCCCTCCTCTCCCACTCACACTTGAATCCCCTGTGCATGATCACAAAAGAACGGCTCAAGGAGCTAGCTCTGTTGATTGGTTTTTCATAGCATAAGGCCTTTAATTCTTGGTGAAAAATATTCAATTATCAGGCCTCATTGCAAAATCTTAACATTTAGAAAATATTGTAGCTATGCTACAGCAGTTGCAAGTAAACTGTAGGTTTATAAATAAAAATGTGGGGGGACTCTGATGTACATGCATGATGTGTAGAGAGATACCGCAAATATTGTACCCACTCATCAGTCTTAAGGAATGAATACCAGAATTGTCCAGGGTAATCAACAGTTAGGAAGTTAAATGATGGTAGAATTCTGGAGAAAATATTTCTGTCTATAGTGAACTTATTCTTTGTACTTTCAGATGTTGTTTTGCTTTATCTCCCACAATAAAGTTGGTTAATATACCAAAACCAAAGGTTTCTTAGTTAGATTTTGACGAAACTACTGAGAGGGCAAAAGCAAACCCGAGCTAGCAAGTAAGCATGGGGTTATGGGAAGCCACAGGATCAAGGCTTGGAAGAAAAGAGAGAAAAGGGAGAATTATCCTTAATATCTAGCAGCAAAGAATATTATGTGCATAAACAGGAAAACTAGAAGCCTGAGAAGAAAGAAGAACAGATAAAGTAAATTTCGAATCCAAGACCTTGATTCCTCTGCAAGGCCATTTTGGAGGCAAATGGGCTGCGTCCTCCAAAGCAGAGGACCATACTGGGCACACGAGCTTGAAAAGTTTCTTCCTTTACCTCCATATGCCGTTCCAACTCTTGCAAGAGAGTAACATATTTCTCCAGTCGCATGAATGGTTTGCTGAGGCTTGTTGTTAAAATGAGGATACCTGGGCTCGATGCACCTTGATTTTCCATAAATTGTTCCAACTCATCACTAGCAAAAGAACAAATACAATTTTGTTGCTGCTGAATATCCCATGTAAAGAATTATCAACCTAAAATTATTTTACTGTATTTCACACAATATAAAGCCAAATAAAAATGTGTTTCACTAGTCTAAATGCTGTTCAGTTTGTTTCGACTCAACTAAATCAGCCTTTATTAAGCTCCTTCTATACAATCAGCACCAGGGCTCCTTTGGTGAGCCAGATGCTCGTGATCCCTGGTGTCACCAATTCAACACTTACAGATTGAGCATCTACTAAGCAACAGGCTCTGTTTTCCGATGGGTTTACAACAACAGTGAGCAAAAAGAAATCCCCACCTTTAAGGAACCTACATCCATGGGCGTGAGATATACAGTGTATCAGATGATCGTAACTTCAGGATTAAAAAGCAGATTTTCTTAATCACTTCAAATACCCTAGTTACGGGCTGGTCAGGTGCCTAAACATAACAATTCACCAGGTTGTGTCACCTATTGTAATGTTCTAGAATCACTTCCTACATTTAGATAGCAGCATGTTTGTATGACCAACCACATAGTCACTTAGCCCAATATCTAAAACCAGTGTAGCAGGTTACCCAAACACTTCAATAAGGCAGCAACTTGGTGAAAAAAATGGATTAATATTTTATGAACTGTGTGTGGAAATGTCTAACTCTAAGCCGGTGCTTTCTCTGCTGTTTAGTACCCTTCCACATTGTTTACTTTCCACCAACAGGGATATTGAGTCCTGGGGCTGCAAGATCATTTTAATACACATTTAAGCAACATATAATTAGAGAAGAAACCCTACTGCCTAAGTGACAGCTGATGTTGAAACTTCTGCTTTATTAAATGGCCCTTTTTCCTCTTTGGTTGGCCATGCATATCCAGTCAGTCACAAATCTTCTTGGGTCTGTTCATTCCTTCCCATTACTGCTGCCACTGCCTTAGTTCAAGACTTTAGCTCATCCTATCTGGCTCACTTCAATAGATCAACTGTTTTCCTGGTTTCCCAGCTTTTTCCAGGTCCTGCAGACTACCATTTTAGCCTCATTGCTTTCTTACCCAAGAGCCTCTGAGTGCCTACAAGATCAAGTCTTAACGTTTTAGATTCCTACTGGCTCCACCATGTTTCTCACTATTCCCCAGCAGGAAACCCCTACTGCAAACTGACCTACTTATTCTCCCTAAAACACATCTTATGCCGTGCTTCCCAACTGTGGTGTGCTGCTATAAGTTGTGAAGTGTGTTCAAAAAACTTGCTATCAGTAATAAAGTACTAGGAGGTTGGAAATAGAGCGGATTGCAGGTTATCGCTATTAATTATAGACACCCACACACACTCTCCCTTTGTGAGCTTTTCTGAGCAGGAGAGAAAAGATGGAGTTTCAGCTAATGCAACAGCAACCTTGAGTCATGCAGTATGTCACGTATGTCAGAGAAAAAAAAGGCTGGGAATTGCTGCCTTAATGGAGCCTAGATCACATATGAGGAGAGATCACATCTAGCAATTGCTGTAATACTTTTATTAAATTAAAAAACATTTATTGAGGGGCTATAAGCGTGAACCACTGCACCCAGCCTGCTGCTAATCCTTTATCAGTTTTTGTAGTATTGTTCCAGAAGTAGCCAAGGGCAGGGAAATGTCCTGGACTTGGAGTCATAAAACAGGCTTGGTGACTCTGGATGAGTAGCCTGAGCCTCAACTGACTCATGTTTAAAAGAGAGATAAAACCTACTTCCTAATAAAATTGCAAAGACTAGGTATGGGGTTTTTTTGATGGAGTTTCACTCTTTGTTGCCCAAGGTGGAGTGCAATAGCGTGATCTCAGCTCACCGCAACCTCCGCCTCCCAGGTTCAAGCGATTCTCCTGCCTTAGCCTCCCGAATAGCTGGGACTACAGGTGTGCACCACCATGGCCCACTAAATTTTGTATTTTTAGTAGAGACAAGTTTTCACCTTGTTGGCCAGGATGGTCTTGATCTCCTGACCTCATGATCTGCTCACCTCCCTAAGTGCTGGGATTACAGGCATGGGCCATCACACCCGGCCAGTATTGGGGGTTTTAATGCTATTTCATGCTACGAATTGTACATGCCCTCATTGTTGTTTAATGACAACAACGTTTCAACATAGGTGTTCTCCACATTTTACAGATGAGAAACCTGAGAGGAAGGGTGATAGTAAGTGGCTACAGTGGCATTCATACTCAGGTCTGAAGCCAAAGCCTCAAGTCATTTCAGGATATCACACTGCCTCTCTACAGGACAGTATTTCGTTAACTTTAAAGTAGTTAATAGATGTATTATTATTATTATGGTTATTCCAAGACAAATACCTTGCTAAAATCACATCTTTAAAAACTACCAGTACCTATGATTTCCAACTTAATGGAAATTCAATTGATGTTTAATTGCCAACCAAGAGCATCAAGTGCATAAAGAGGTTTAAAAATTCCTTGCATATAAAATATAATTAGGGAAATAACTTGGGTTTGGAGTGCATTTGAGTAGAAATGTAATTTGGAGAAAATCATTTCCTAATTTATTTACAATTTAGTAAACAAGCTTTACTTTTTCCTTCGGTGACTAAATGCCCGCATCCCCAACGCTTTACTCTGATGCAAGAGTTACAACAATTAAAAGCAAATGCTAATGTGTACTTTATTATTACTTTCCATTCAGCATTCTAACTTCTAGGTTTGCTAAATATTATGAAACAATTTAAACATTTCTATAAAACATGAGATCACTATCTTGGATTAAAACACTGGTTCTTGAGAAGAAAAGAAAATTTTACTAGAGCAACAAAAGAACAAAATTGTCCAATAGAACCTTTGATCTATGATAAATAGATCCTAAAAGACACACTTTTATTTTGCCAAATAAACATACTACACAGGTTAGCATCATTATACACAAATATAATACATAAATACATATATTGTTATGCCAAAGCACAATCTGTCTTTTAAATGCAGTTTTTCATTTTCTACAGCCCAATTTAAGTAGCAGTGGATTAAGACTTGCTTTTCAAGCTTAACGTGTTCTGTATATGTTACGTGATACAATAGAAGCAGTTCTCAATGTATAAATGCTGTTTAAAATAATATACACTTATTTCATAGAATGCATGGTGGATAGGGCTGTGGGATACTCTGGGTTGAACTGGAAAGCTGAAAAAAAAGACTACGTATACTATAACAACACTACAGAGCTTAACCATCTTGTAGAAGTATCTCTATGACATCTTTGTGTAGGTTTCTAATTTGAATGATCATGACTCTACCTAGCAGAAGGTCAGAGATTCCTCCTCTCCACCTCAATTACTCCTCCACCAGGCCTTCAGGGGAAATCACTGTGGCCCAAAAGTGGAGGTGAGGCAAGAGGAGCTGGATGCCATGGCCTCTGGCCAGTGGAAAGTTTCAGGAGTGCCACTCACACTGAGTTGAGTGGATCTCTTTCTTCTCTTTTGCATGTATTCAGCCCAAGAGATTAGGTGATGGGCTTGTTTTTTGTTGCCATTAATTTTTCTTTTTTTTTCTTTTTTCTTTTTTTCTTTTTCTTTTTTTTTTTTTTTTTTTTGGAGACGGTCTCACTCTGTTTCCCAGGCTAGAATGCAGTGGCATGATCTCGGCTCACTATAAACTCCACCTCCCGGGTTCAAGAGATTCTCCTGCCTCAGCCTCCCGAGTAGCAGGACTACAGGTGCACACCACCACATCTGGCTAATTTTTGTACTTTTAGTAGAGATAGAGTTTTGCTACATTGACCAGGATGGTATCTAACTCCTGTCCTCCAGTGATCTACCTGCCTCGGCCACTGGGATTACACGTGTGAACCACTGCGCCTGGCCTTGTCCCTACTATTTTTGTTTGTGACCAGTCTTACTTACTCCTTTCTCTGGTCCTTCAAAGACAGAAAACAACAGAACCTAAGCTCAGAAATTTTTCTATGCTCCTTGTCCCCAGAGCAAGTAGGTAACTCTTTGGGGGTTTTCTCAAAGTCTCATTGCTGGCAACCATGGTAAACAGAGTGGAGAGAACTTACAAGAGCAAAAGCACACCACAGCAGAGACGGGAAGTGAGGTCCGGATCTGTCTTAGCACCAACTCCCCCTCTCTCTGATCTCTCCTTTAACGTTCTCCCTTGTGAAAAGAATGAATGCCACACCGAAGCAAGCACAAGAGAGAAGTGGGTATTTTTGTAAAAGAGAGATTATTCCCAGGAAGAAACAGGAGCTACCGTAGCAAGCTAGCAGGGGAGAGAGAGGGTAAATCCCAAAAGACCTTACTCAGGGGATAACAAAAGACTAGAGTGGCCATTCAAATATATGCAAATATTGGGACACATCAAGGTTGGGGTCTGATTACATAACCAAATTCAGGCAATAGATAACTGCATTTTTAATAAGACACCTGCATGCAATTTCATACAATTTTAAGCTGGATCCCGTCTCAGGGCCAATTGCTAGGAGCATTCCTGGTATGGTATTGCCACCTAAAGGCCAAAATGAGGAAGTTCACCTGAACGTTACAGCTTCAGCAAGGAAAGAATAGAAATCCACCAATGTCCCGTTTCAGCTGAAATCTTCATCTAAAACTTTTTTAATATGAATTTTCTGTGAATTTCATTTCACTGTGCTTCGCCTTTAATATGTCAGCATAAAGTGCCATTAGATGCATGTAATATAGCTGAGATTATATTCAAAGCACATGTGAGAAAAACCTCAAGTATTTTCATTTTCATCCCTTTTACCTGTAAATAAACCAGTAAGATAAAAATTTAGTTCTATGAGGACTCCAGTGAGTCTTCCATCATTTCAAGGAATATTATACAATTCTCAAAAAAACACCATTAACTAAAATTAAACAAACAGGACATTATACTTCACCAAAAACTTGAGAATCTTTTAAATCAACTGTGTAACAAACCTTAAACCATAATGTTTGAGGGAACCTTTACTTAATTTTACTTATAAAATCAAATTCCCAACATAGGTACATG